CAAGCAAATGCCATCTACACCCAAACTCGAATCTCCAAAAACCGAGTTTAAACTGAATTTTCTGTACGCCAGCCTGAAACCTGTTGCGCGCCTCGCTGCCTACCACTGCACTGAGCGCTGCATCGCCGTAAAACAGATTAAAAAAAGTGCGTGCATTTCGCATCGCACATTTAGTTGCTGCTTAGTTCTTACTTCGAAGTTATGTATGTAGCTCATGTTTCATGTATGCGGTATGCCTAGAAAGTGGAGAACTAGGCAACTGCAAGCAATTTCAAGTGGGTATGGTATTGGTGTCGGTCGCTTATGTCTGCATATTTCAAGTGCATTGTTACAAGCATCGCAGCCAGAGAGCGGAAAAAGCGAGTACAATTTATGCAAATATGCTGATTATCACTGGAACCAAGGTATCAGACAAATATAAGTAAGTTTAATAGAACAGCGGCACGAACTGCGCAATTAATCACTGTTCGGACAGTGTTAATCACTGTTTGTTTAAGACAGTTTTTTTCACGCTATCTTTAGAGTGTCATTCGTAACAATGTTGCTATCGTTGGCAGTTCGTATTCTGGTGTTTGGCATGATACCCAAAGTTTTCGCGCTTGTGGTTTGCAAGGTCATGGGTGAATGCTCCGATGATAAGGCTGACAGACCGTTGATGGGTAAAGTGAGCATGGTCATCCATCCTTGCTGTGTACCGATGGTCATGATGGTGATCTCGAAAATTTATATCTGCCTCCAAAAGGTCATCTGCGGTACCCGTCCAGAGCAGACTGTGATGTTCAAGTTTGCGCGCGGAGGCTGGCCATATGCCCCGATCGACGCCTGGTCGGGATCATTATAATTAAACAACGCCTGGGACAGGCTTGAATCGTATAAAAGACACCATTTGAACATAGCGATTAACAAACTGGATACCTGCATGAACGCAACAAACGGTGCTCAAAATCAGTGCGAACGGTGCAAAGAGCAGAAGGAAGTGAAGAGACTGTACATTATTGGATATGCTGCACAGGAGCCTAAAAGAAGTCGGACACATGTATTGTGGACCGCATAATTTTGCTTGCCAGTTTTTTTTACGTACTCTGTAGCTGGTTCTATCAACGAGCACCGCCAGCGCAGAAAATGTTGCCGTTTCGCTTTAATATTTACGATAACAATCGTAATGACCATATGCACCATGTTTCAGTTCTACAGATACAGTGACAAAACTGTAGTCTCGGCTGTCTCGCATATGTACTGGTTTATTTATTTCCCAGAAATAATAAGCGTCCCGCACAACTTTTCAAAGAAAACGGCAATCAAACTATTTAAGCGGATTAATAAAAACCAATACTAGTAACTCTGTCCGGATCCCTTTTATATTCCTCAAAGAAAGTTAAACAAATTTAAACCAAAAAACCACATATCCTCCCGTCCCTGTGCAAAAAAACTCTGAATAAATAAAATTTTTGAAACCATGCTCAATCGTCGCGAGGGCGGCTGCCACATGAGACATGAAGTTTTTTAAAACGATTCTTTTCGGTGTTGTGGCTCAACCATGCACGGAAAATCTTTTTGCAGCTGTGTGATAAATTTTTCATGTAAAATTTCTAAACAATGAAAAACACCTTCGCAATATGTTTCAATTTTTTGCTGTAAACATAATGTGCGTATTCATTCAGTGCATTCTGGTAGGAAGCCAGGTTTCTTTAAAAATTTGTTTCCCATATTTAAAGATTGTTTGGAAATATGGACAGATTACGGTATTTACCTTAACACCCGTAAGTGTGCAACAGGAATGCATTCAGTGCGTATAAATCACCGGCACCGCACTCGAAAAAAATGCACAACTCTACTATTAATATAGTACGATCCGAAGGAAAGTTTTTGTAGTGATTTGTTTACAGTATCTGTATTACGAATTTAGAGGAAGCGGATATTTCGCCGCATTCTAGGCGGCCAGATACAGATACACTTTAGCTGTTTCATCGCGCTATAATTCGGCAACATAATCTGCCATAGTTGTTGCTTTGATTTCCCTCACATTGCCTTTCTTCAATTTCTTACAGTCTGACAGGCTACTATGGTTTCTTAGGATTCTAATGTTCTTAGAAAAAATAGAAATCGTAGATTTTCTTTAATTAAAGGTGCGGTAAATTAGATTAGTCAAAGGTAATCTGCTAGTCTAATTTGAGGCAAAACAGCGCAAGGCTGTTTTGATGCAACGTGCGACAGAAGGCTAGAAGGCCAAACTTTAACCAATTAGACGCACACTGACTCGCCATAGCCTTTTCGTGTTCAAAGGATTTGTGAAAACTTTCAAGAGATTTGTATGAGCTAGCGGATAGAAAAACTTTATTTAAGAACGTACAATGACATTCCACGAAGCATAAGCCTTTGCTAATTAGAAATATGATCAGCTCTTCATAACTGAAAGAAGCCGTTCCCGAAATGAGTGACCCTTCGACAACCCTACCAAATATAATTAAAGTGACCAGGGTCACGATTTAGTGTAATACGGTTATCGGTCAACTTTCATAATGGCTAACATTTTGCACATTTGCCGGTTCTGATAAGCACATCTTCGAAGATATGCTTAAACTGATAAACACATCTTCGAAGTTTACATTCTCTTACTCAAACTTGGTAACTCGAATAGAAACAATTTTGATTGAGAACGGGCAGTGGTCAGGATGATTATTATTACAAGCCGTACTGGCTATGATCGGCTACTGAATGTCTTACCAAACTTGCTTTGGATGAAAAACAAATTGACCTGCAGTGTTTGTGCAACACAAGCATGTAGTGTACACGGTTAAACAATAAACAGAATGTAACGAACTGATGTTATGGACATGTTATGCACACAATAGCTAAGATCCAAGGATGCATACAACCTTTTTAACGCGAAAACGATTTCTTCAAAGATCGCTTAATAATCTTAAAATCGACTCAAAAGAGCAATTGGGGTGCGCGAAGATGAAAATTTACGTGCTTGAACAAGAGCTTTGAGCTACCTGCGTCATACAGAGTATTACTGCCTCTCCATTCCAGCTATATTGCAAAGCCAAGTGTACTTATGCGATAGCACTCAGCCTATCGTCCATACCCGGTAAATATGCTTACTGATCTCCAAAGCATAGCAGGAAGTAATAGCCAGAGCTAACAGATATCAGCAGAACAAGATGCATTGTACGAAAACTCATTGCCTGCCCAAATATTCTCCAAGGTAATGTTTTTCGAACAATCGACGCTGAAAGCTTCCGTATCGTTCCCTTTTCGCCTTACAGCTGCGGAAATATAGTTTCCAATAATGAACACTTCACCGGGATCTTTTGCTTCGATCAGATAAGGTCTCTGCTTCAGAAAACGGCGAAACCAGGCAAATGAGCAGTCACAGTGTAAATTATAAAGATAGCCGAGATAGTCAACAGAGACTGAGCTGCTGCCGCGGTTAGGATTCTTCGCACTAAACAACGCCTGGATAAGTTTTCTCTCCAGAATCAAGCTACGCAAGTTAATCAAGTTGGTAAATGTGCCCGGCTCCAGAGTGCTGATCGTGGAGAAAGTGAAAACAATCTGCCGTAGTTGTGGCAGCCCACCGAAATCAGATTTGTAGATCGCTTGATCGTGGCAGAAATAGAAAGCAAAACTGTAAAGGTTGGGTATTGTACCCAGTTCGTATATCCTGGCGGTAGTATTCGGCGAATAGCATCCAAACATGCCAATGTGTACGGTTTGGTTGCGGACGGGGTCGATGACGTCAACGGTAAGCAAATCTTCAGTATCAGATTCATCCAAATGCAGCACTACCGCACGCTGGGGACTGATCTGGCTCACCTGTTTTGTGGTTTTGGCTACTAACGAGCGAGGTTCGTGGAGGCAGGGGATCTCCACGTACGTGTTCATCATCTGCGATCGGTAGGGTGATTTGTCATTTAATGCACATGAACTGAAGCCGAGGACCAGCATGCAGATAGCTCCTTCAGCTTCCAGATTGTAGTAAAGGATACATTCTCTCACCGTAAACAAATCTTTTCGAAAAGGATGCGGTGTCACGACAGGAGCAACCACGCTGCGGGTTAAAGTCATGTTTTGTGGGAAACAATCAGAGTCGGTGTATTTCGGTTCAGCTGCAAATACATATTTCAAACGGCTGAGTAAAAGGACGATCGCTTTTTACAATTTACGTAAGATGGTTTCTGAAAGGCTCTCTCTCAAATTTTTGTATGTCGAATAAAACAACTTATTGTGTGTGAGATTACAAAGTACACATAATTATATTGTCCGGTACGTTCTCTCGAGGAATATAGAATGGTTTACCAAGATTCCTTTGAACGTAGAGCAAAATAAACATACAGCACAGTGATACTTTTGTGATGCAATTTTCATTCAGCATTTTCGTTCCAGTTGCAATGAATATTATCGCTGAAAAAATTGCATATGTTCTGATCGATCGATTGTTATCGCTACGTTTTCCAACCAGGAGTATTTTGCTTGCTAGCTACTGTAAATATGGAATTCGACGTGCTTCGAGAACCGAACGCTTTGACTAGAAGAATTAATGTACCCAACGCACGACGGGCGACGGCAAGACTTTACTAGCAGTGAGTTAGCGGACTATCACATTTAGCCATCTCCTACTCAGCCGAGCAATCAGACCGTGCTCTGATAAAGCCCCCAAGCAAACCTTATGCGAGCATTTTGCAAACTGATTCGACATGTTTACTCGTAAGAGAACGGCGCTAACAGGGGAATGGAAAACAACGGTAGCGTTAACACTGCCGCTTTTCCAGCCGACAAGTTAAAATAATACAAATATCAGGACAAACTTTATTGCCGAACTTATTCTTTTAGCCACTGACTTACATAAGAAAACACATAAAAGCAAATTAAGATTGCAACGAAGCGACGCTGGCTATAGCGATTCTAGTTTAAATGATCTTCTCCATATTTACTGTTCAGTGGTAGCACCGTTCGACACCTCCTTTGGCCGAGGGAGGTCGCTGAAGTGCCGGACAGAGCGGCAGCGGAGTAGGGCTGCCCGGTCGGGCCACCCTTGACGGATTTAGTTGTCTTTCCCCCACTTTGATTGGTTCAGCGGACGGTCCTGCCAGCTGGTGTCAGAACTTTGGGCGCGGCAGGAGTTTTGCCCAGGGCGGTTTTTGGTGCAGGGGCTGCGGAGCGGGATCCGGCGGTGCCCACTAAGGCTTGCATATTGGGAGACATGGGGGCGATGTAGTCAGCGGGAGGTGTGTCGAAGAGCGGTCTGTCAGAGTACAGACGGGAATTGGCGAAACCGGCATACTGAGCGAACCTGACAATTAATGCCAAAGCCGTTGCCAGCATCCGTACTTTATATTATATGAACTTCCAATTTGATTCCTTGCTTATCCGCACTAAATGCTTAGTCACTTACCCTTCGCAGTCAACATTGAAAAAATAATCACACACCAGGGTAATCTGGTTGAAAATAGTCAAATTGGTGCACAAATAGCTGGTCCGGTTCCCGTTAATGTCACACCTAATGTACACGAAGTAGTCGTCAGTACAATAACAAGCCTACTATATTGCAGCGCCGACGAACCTATGGAAAACCTGACAGTATGTGCCGACATCGGCATAAAATCCCGGGTACATCTGCGCGCTACAGTCGAAGTTACTGGAAACCGGCACCTCCGCCAGCATGGGATACGCGTGTCCAGCCACAGCACTGGATAAAATGTCAATGACTTCCGCAGCCGACATGGCAGGTTTCAGGATGTCCCATACATATTTTTTCTCACCATTGGCCGCACACAGAATAGCAAAAAATATGGCTGCGGGAACTATCATGATCTTGTCAGACGGATTCCCAAGAACTGAAGTTCCCAAGAATTAAGGAAGTAGGCAACTGAGATAATGTGCCGACATCGTTCAGATCGACGAAGCGGTCGGTACTGAAGATATTGAAGCTGAAGCTACTGGAGCTGCGGAGATACTAATGCTGACCGGTAAAATTTGGAATGCAATTCAGTAAATGCATAATGAATGCCAGCTAGAGCCTCAGTAGCTTTTATACAAATTAAGCAGCTCGTGATTATGGACACGCGTTTTATTTGTGTAACATGAGCAATCATGTTTTGTAATCTGTAGTCGGAAGTAGCCTCCAGTCTACTTCATGCTCATGTGATTCATGTTAGGTAATCTGTTGCAGAAAGTCACCTTCCTGCTACTCCCTACTAAATAGCTAGAGGTGTTTTACTTCCGCGTTGGTCGAAATAAAAATAACGCCGCTGGGCTCAGAAAAATCAGTGTTAGGTTTAGTCATCTTCTAGCACTGATCTGTTTCATATAGCAGAACCCTTCGTTAATTGATGGCTCCACCAGTCCCTAGTTTGCATTCCCAAAATTTATATTGACCTTTTCAAATCGATTATCTAATGGACTGTCCAGAAGACCTTTCGCCATCAACTATCTTATGATTTTTTAATTGTTATTGCTTTTTTACTCCCGGTTTTCTTTTTTACCCGGTTCGGTTCCATAGATCCACCATTTACAGAGTACATGAAATTTTAAGAAAAAGCTTGAGCAGTTTTCTTGCAATTGCGTCGGTAAAAACAATGACGAAATACAAAAGCCAGGCCACGCGAGCCACTGCACTACACCATGATTACGTTGAACACTTGTCGGCATTACCGCCACGGTTTTTAAAAGGCAGGATGAGTGTCTGCAGGCTCCATTGCTTGCCGTTCTCAAAGTTTCCGCGGCCAATTCATATCTATTTCTTATTTCAAGTTTTGGCTACATAAAGCTGTAAAAACCCGAAATTTCAGAAAATGTGGGTCGGCCTATTTTACCTTTGGCGTCCCTTTGCCTTTTCCTTTACCTTTTTCAAGTATATCTGTACGTTTACCTTTGCCTTTTGTCCCCGTGAATACCTTTACCGTCCCAGTGCACCGTTGAAGAACGCCGTTCGAAAAACCTTTACCGTTAATTGACCGTTGAAAAATAAATTACCGTTGACACTTTGCTATTCATACAATATCTTGCTTTTGTACAGTATCTTGAAATTATTTCGTGACCAATAAATTGTGTATTACTTTTGCGACTAGCATGAATTTCGATTCTAATAATTATTTGACTATTGCCACTGCCTTTGAATACCTGTTATAATTACCGTATTCGCACCGGGTTTTTTCACACATTCTGTTAGTTTCTGACCCTTAATCGTCATTCTTATCATCGGTCTGGCATATCATAAATCTGCTGACGATAACGGGTAATGGTAACGGTACTGCTTCCGTATGTCTTGCTGCTCGCTCATAGCAATTTTCCGCTCAAACAACTTTTCATTGCGACTTAATCAGCACGCTTTTGTGTGCCTGCATGGCAGAGTGCAGATAATATGTACGTATAACCAGTTAAACAATCGCACTGAATTTAGTATAATATTAACTTCTCGTACAGAATGAGGTGGTTACAATAGCCAAACGGTGGTGCGAGGTGGTCGCAAAAGCATCACACCATAATTAATGGTCACGAAATAATTTCAAGTTACTGTACAAATGTAAGATATTGTAGGAACGGCAAAGTGTTAACTGTAATTAATTTTTCAACGGTTAATTAACGGTAAAGGTTTTTCGAACGGTGCTTTTAAACGATAAATTGGGACGGTAAAATTATTCAAGTCGGCAAAGGCAAAGGTAAATTAGAAAAAGGTAAATTGACAAGCTAAAGGCAAACTATTATCAATATCTTTACAAGGCAATGTTCCCCAATTAAAGCAGGCGCTTATTGCACCTATAATAATTAGACGGTTCTCAGTAATGCGTAGGATAAATAGGCTACTTCCAGGCGGAGGGAATCGGGAACGGGGCCGAGGGTGTAGTCGTACCGTTGGACTCAACTTCCTCCAAGTCTTTCGGCACTGCGCATCCATTCTGGATTAGAACTTTCACCGACGCTAGGTCTCCGCACTCATCGCATCCTCTCCCCTTGCTGCAGTTATCCAGAACTCTTAGCTCAGTGGTAAAAGCATATGCCGGAATAGGAGACAACCCATTCCAGGTTTCATGCCGGCCCGAGAACCAGTAAGCGATGTTGACTGCGTAATCTTTGCCTGCCACACTTCCAATGGGCGCACCGGCGGTGATCTTCTGCAAACAGTTCCACTTATCTACACAATCATCAGCACCGGCACGAAACAGCTCCCCTCGAGAATACTGTCGTTGTCGGGACAAAACGTTTTACCTGTCAGACATACACATACACCCATTTACTGCTTTTCTCTTTTACAGAACTTTCTTCAATCGGCTACTGCTGTCACTTGAATTTTGATGCGGGACCACAGGAATTGTGGCTGTTAGTGCGCCCACAGCGAGGAAGGGGTCGGCTCTGTGATTATCTGGCAAGTATCCAAATGACGGCTTAGAGAAAACCGGAGACTCTGTCAGACGCTTTCTTGCATGAAGACCTTGCAGCAGGTACACTGGCTTTCCGGTTTGCACTGCATGGACCGGGGGTGTTACGGCACTGCACTGACTGGTCTGGTTGCACCGGGTCGCACTAACCAGCGACGCGTCACCGGCTCCCCTCTCAGAAAAATTTCGTATTTTGTAGGATGACAGAGTAACAATATTGTATTCCTAAAAAAATAGTTTCATCCGCTATGATCAACAGGGAGGGGCCAAACAAAATTAAAAAGTTAAAGATACGCTGTGTTATAGCCAATGCATTGCTTTGTACGATTATAAGATATACTGTAATAACATGCGGCACTTGCTTTATCGTACAAGGCATACTGGTGTGACTGTTGTGTTCCATATTCTTTCTGTGTTCTTATTGTTAATCCGCTTTTGTTTCTGAAGCTGGTTTGTACTTTGTAGGTGATATAAGTTGACTTATTTTTTAAGACAGAATCTGCAGGTCATATGTTCATATTTCGATTTCAGTTTGCGCTATCAGTTTTTAGCACAAATACTGCTAGCACGAAACCCGAAGTAAGGCCGATCTGTCTCTATAAAATAAATAAAATTGCCATTTACTAGAAATGGGTAAACAGAGAATTTTAAGCCAACATAAGCGTACGAAGTGGCTCATTGCCATATGGGCCATATTAAGTCGTATAAGTAGCTACTTAATTAGCGTACAAAGCAATGCATTGGCTATAACATAGTGTAACTTTAACTTTTTAATTTTGTTTGGCCCCTCCCTGTTGATCATATCAGATGAAACTATTTTTTTAGGAATACCCTATTGTTACTCTGTCATCCTACAAAATATGAAATTTTTCTGAGAGGGGAGCCGGTGACGCGTCCCTGGTAAGTAATTACATAAATACGTGTAATCGCGATTGATTTTCTGGTAATTTAGCATTTACATTCGGCACGGAAATCACCTGAAATTTGGGAAAAGGAAGTTGGTTGAGTGGATGACAATAATATTTGCAGGAATTTCGCTTGTTAGTTTCAGCGTTCTGGCTGTTTTCCGGCGAATAGCACTTTAATATTTTTGCATGTATGCAGCATTCTTCGCAATATTAGCAACACTTTACCGGAATCCAAGAGGCTTCGGACCGATCGGAATATTATACATACCCACTTAAGAGTGGCGAGATCTATGCATTTTAGGCGTAACGACAACTGTTTTTCAACTGCACGCTTTCACCTTGCTTTGAAATCTCTCATTCTTGATTATTTGATGGAAAAAAACAGTCGTGAAAATTGCTCTTCAAATGGTACTCTTATGTCCTTCCTACAAATACTGGGAACTAAAATTCACGTTCTTCATATTCTCCAACAAAAGCTTTATTTGCATTCCAGAGCAACTGGAAGAAGTGTCGAAAAAAGCGAAAATCAAAGCTTTTGTTGTAGCGAGATTCAGAACCTATCGCAAAAAAATATATCAGCAATTGACTTTTTTACTAATTTTGACTTTTTTCCGAAATAGCCAAACGATGCTCCCAAAACTGGGTTTGTAGTTCAATGAACAAATCCAAGTGAATTTCCAGATGCTTGTACAGTATCATTATTACTTTAAGCACATAAGTTCCATTACCGTTTGTAGACTTAATGTGACAAGAGAAGCAGTTTCCAAGAAACTTTTGATGTTATTACTTATATTACGTATTACGTTTGCTTTTGAAATCATTCTTTTGAAAAAATTTTTTTCATAATATATTACCTTTTTGGCCCTATAGATCACGCAAAACACAGAAACTAGAAGCCACTCTGCGGGGTGAAGAACCCAACCAGTAGTCCCACTAAAATGCGGCAAAATAGCCTTAGCGATATTCATGCAACTCTCCACACTTGGCGCAAACGACCTGTGCATTAACCTCTGCTAAAAATGATCACAAAGCAGAAAGAAAGAGTTTTCACATGATAATTACTGGTTTATTTAGTACTTGAGCTGAGAAGAATAAACTGGGCCAACTTGGCGAAAACATGCTTTTAATTGATGCTTATTTTTTGTGCAGACTGACCTGTAAATATATATTAGTTTGTAGCCTAATCTGCAAATTCCTGTAACCGTCCAAAACGTCCGAGGCCGTCTATACGTCAGGACATAAATTTCGGCCTCCCATTAAGGATGATACATGCGCAAACTTTGGATTCCTTTTTTCATTAATTTATAATAACACTGCTGACTAACAGCTCCCTAACTTTTTTGCCGTTCTATGGCAGAAAACACGATCTGACAACAACAACACGGTTTCTTGTATACACTGAAGTTATACTGCATATATATGAGGCGCCGGCCACTGGCTGACATACAGCGGATCACCGTTCTCGGTGACGGCAAGCATGTTATAACGAGTTCAGAAACATCGAAGTACCCTTACTCGTACAGTTGCCTTAACATTAATTTTTTCGGACAACCAGATGACACTCTGTACGAACTCTTATTTTGCCGTAGACTGTAGTTGGCCCTGCTATACCTTAGTTGGCCTGCTATACCTTAGCAGTTCCGTATCGGCACTGTTGTTAGATATGAACATGCACAGGGTCAAAGCTATGCGCAGGAGTTTTTCATTTTCAGAAATTTTGTACTTACTAAGAAAGTTAAACTATTAAAGTACTTTATGTAAAGTATTGCCAGTACTTTATACTTCCCACGTGCCGTGGATCGTGAATTAGTGAAAAGTGAGTACGTTACGTAAAGTGCGGTGTTTTTTCTTGCTAACGGCGTGATCACCAGCGGCGAACAGACGGGCAAAGCGGCAGATCCCACATTCACTGGGATGTTGACAACGCTGCCTGTTGGAATGACAATGGCGCGGCTCGGACCGTCTGTTTGTATTTTTACGAGGCAGCTTGTAAGATGCTAACCCCTTGACGCGCCGTTCCCAGTTTTACTTAACAATAAGCTCCACATTTTATTTTTACAACAAACAACAACAAAATATGTCAACAATTTATAAATATGTGAACACATTTTTCAGAATTCCGCGCACGTATTTAAAAATTTAGTAGGATCAAATAAGAAAATTATTTTCATATTTTTTATTTTATTTTTTGTACATTTTCATCTGGTTGAATTTCTTGGAAATTAGCGTTTTTTCCAGTTATTTCTTCCCTTTTAAGACTTACCAAATTTCTGAACTCAACAAAAACGTCAAAAATATTACTTCTTGCATGAGGATATACAGAGTATCACTCAATGTTTGTAACCGTAAGTTATTTTGTTCATTCTTAATTATGTATTTATTATACAACTTCGTGTAATTGTTTTGTTTCTGTACCGTGATTTCGTAGTAAATATTCTATTACAGTAAATTTAGATGTTTTTCTTATTAAAGAAATTTCTCAAAGAAATATTTTTCTTATGAAAAAAATTAATTTCTTATTATTTTTCTTATTAAAGAAATTCCCAAATTTTGGAAACCTTAGGAACATAGGAAAACCAAAAATTAAGCTTCGTTTCTTCAAGATTTTTCTTCCTTGTCAAGAATCGATCAGATTATGAATGAAAAAGAGGAAAGCACCGGTCTCACATCCGTCACAACCACCTTTTTAGTCGCCCCTGTTAAACGGCTGTAATACAGTTATAATCGTTTCCATAAATATTCAAAATACAAGGATATTAACCAACCTTTTGGATTACTTTAAAATCTCTAACAAATCCATTCCGTGTCACGAGGCAGTTGACGCGACGCGGGGGGGGGGGTGTATATACTCCAGGGTACTGCGCATAGGTAAACACGAACTAAATATGGGGTTTAATGGACTAAAATGCGCAATCCGTTCTGATTGAATCTTTTTCCCACCGCGTCAAGCCAATCGCCTTGTGAACGGCTTCTGTTTGTACATCGCATTCTTGAAATCAGCATATTTCAGTTACCATGAAAACGGCATTCCCCTTCGAAAAAAGCAGTTTTGACCTTTGCCCGGCGTACCTCGGCACCCAACTGTACTTGGGTGCAGCTGATTACTCAACGTGTAGCAAAACCGATTCGCGGCTATATCCATTTCTTGGCCAAATTTATAGATTGCTAAATGTGATAGTCCGCTGACTTACTGCAGCTGTAGATAACGTTTATAGCTGCACTAAACCATTTAGCCAAGTTGATCAGTTCGCTCAAGACGTCGAAAAGGCTGAAGTCTGTCAGAATACTGCTCGTTCAACAATGTTGTGAATATAAGTCATGTAACCGATCGAATATAATATTTGGAACTTTATCAGGGCCAATACTCGGCCCATGCTCAAACTCGGACTTGGACTCGGACTTGGACTACTAAAACTTGGACTTGGACTTCACTTGGACTCTAAAACTTGGACTTCATTTGGACTCTAAAACTCGGACTTCACTTGGGCTCTAAAACTCGGACTTCACTTGGACTCTAAAACTCGGACCTTACTTGGACTCAAAAACTTGGACTTTATGACTTGGACTTGGAATTAGGCGTTTATTATGTTTCTCATGTCTTCTTACGTTCCTCCATGTTTTCTTAGGTTTCTTAGGTTTCTTAGGTGTCTTAGGTTTCTTTGGTGTTCTTAGTTTTTCAGCTCTTTTAGGTTTCTTAGGTTTCTTAGCTTTTTTAGCTTTCTTAGGTTTCTTATGTTTCTCAGGTTTCTTAGGTTTCTTAGGTTTCTTAGGTTTCTTAGTTTTCTTAGGTTTCTTAGGTTTCTTAAGTTTCTTAGATTTTTAAGGTTTCTTAGGTTTTTTAGGTGTTCTTAGGATTTTAGGTCTCTTAGGTTTCTTAGGTTCGTTAGGCTTCTTAGGTTCCTTAGGTTTCTCAGAATAACAAAGAATACCTAGATAACCTAGGAAATGTTAGTAACCTCAGAAACCTAAGAAAACCAAAGAAGGCTCAGAAACCTAAAAAACCTGAGAAACCTAAGAAACCTATGAAGACCAAAGAAATCAGAAAAACCTAAGAAAGCTACGAAACCTAAGAAACCTAAGAAACCTGAGAAAACATGAAGAAACGTAAGAAGACATGAGAAACGCCTACATCCAAGTCTAGGTCATAATGTCCGAGTTTTAGTGTCCAAGTGAAGTCCAATTTTTTGAGTCCAAGTGAAGTCCAAGTTTTAGAGTCCAAGCGAAGTCCGAGTTTTAGAGTCCAAGTGAAGTCCAAGTTTTGGAGTCCAAGTGAAGTCCAAGTCCAAGTTTTAGTAGTCCAAGTCCAAGTCCGAGCTTGAGCGCGGGCCATAATACTCGGTGCCGTCGGTAAACAAAATGCTGGTTAAAAACTCCAATATGAAAGCTTTGTGGTGCGGATTGTTCAATTTGTTTTTCATCCAAAGCAAGTTTGGTAAGACATTCAGTAGCCGATCATAGACAGTACGGCTTATAGTAAAATAATTATCCTGACCTCTGCCCGTTCTCAATCAAAATTGTTTTTATTCAAGTTACAAAGTTTGAGTAAGAGAATGTAAACTTCGAAGATGTGTTTACCAGTTTAAGCATATCTGCATTGTACATTATTAAGCATATCTGCATTATACATTGTACAGCTGCCTTTATTTTTGTCAAAACCCATTTTCCAGCTGCGCCGACATACACGGACTCAGGTTGCATCTCACAAAACTGGACTTTAAACCACAGCGTGGTTGCTCCTGTCGTGACCCCGTATCCTTTTCGAAGAGATTTGCTTACGGTGAGAGAATGCATCCTTTACTACAATCTGGAAGCTAAAGGAGCTATCTGCACGCTGGTCCTCGGCTTCAGTTCATGTGCATTAAATGACAAATCACCCCACCGATCCCAGATAATGAACACGTACGTGGAGATCCCGTGCCTCCACGAACCTCGTTCGTTAGTAGCCAAAACCACTCAAAAGGTGAGCGAAATCAGTCCGCAGCGCGCAGTTGCGCTGTATTTGACTGAGGTACCTGATAAAGAAGATTTGCTTACCGTTGACGTCGTCGGACCCATCCGCAACCAAACCGTACACATTGGCATGTCCGGCTGTTATTCGCCGAATACTACAGCCAGGGTATACGAACTGGGTACTATTCCTAACCTCCACAGTTTTTCCTTCTATCTGTGCGACGATCTAGCGATCCGCAAATTCGATTTCAGTGGAATGCCCCAATTGCGACAGATGGTGTTCACTTTATCCACAATAGCCACACTGGAGCCAGGCACCTTTGCAGATTTGCCTAACTTGCGTAGCTTGATTCTGGAGAGAAAATGGATCAAGGAGTTATTTAGCGCGAAGAATCCCAGCTCCACCAACGATTATTCTGCCAGTGTTAACGATCTCGACTACCTTTATAATCTGCATTGTGACTGCTCATTTGCCTGGTTGCGCCGTTTTCTGAAGAAGAAACCGTATTTGATCGATGCCAAAGATCCCGGTGAAGTGTTCAAAATTGGAAACTATTTCTCTGAAGCGATCACCAGAACTGGGAATGGTACGGATGTCTTCAGCGTGGATTGTTCGAGAAACGTGACACTGGAAAATATTTCGACAGGCAGCGAGTTTTCGTACAATGCATCTTGCCCCGATGATAATAATTATTGCTGATTCAGATTTTAATTAGTGCTTCACTTTGGAAATCAGTACTCTAGCGCATTTTAAGTGCAATATGTGCAAGCTAATAATACGAGTACATGCTATGAGAGATGACCCGGCACGTGACACTAGGTTCATGCGAACGCTGTGTAATTTTTACTTGCGCGCTCTCTTACACAGTTTTTTTTGCATCAAGCAACGACATTTTATTTAATATCCAAATGGGTTCCGCAAAAATTTCTGTCATATATCGTAAATACCGTTTATGCCATCATCATCCGTTTGGTGTGGTATGACTGAAATAAAATATCCCGAAACTTTAACGCAAAAACGGCGGGCCAAAGGTAAGTCGCTCAATTTGGACCGATGTCGTTAACATTTGGCACAAGCGTACGTAAATATAAAAATCGCTTTGATAAGAAACGAAGATGCTATAGTTTTCGTAATTCTATAAAAGCTTGCAAATTATTGATATTGATTTAGTATTAATTGAAACTTTAATAAAACTGTCGTTCAAAACTTTAATATGAAAACTGTCTTCCATATTTATGTACTTTTCTACGAAAATTCGACTATAGACAGCTCTTGAGGTTTGGCACCACTTCGTTTGCGGAAGTTGACGTGTGTGTAACAGTCCAAAACGCCCGGCCGTATCAGACGTCCGGCGGTCGTTTTGGCCGATAAACCGTCTGAAACCACCAATAGCTGCCAAAACGACCGCCGGAAATTTCGCCCTCCCATTTGCTTCGTTTTAAGCATTGAACTAAAATAATGAGTGTAATTTTCCACCTTGTCGTTTCTGCCTGAGTGCAGTTTCGTATTTGATTAATTCAGCTCGGGAGTAAAGTCGATTCCGGTCGTTTCGGACAGTTTAAGGGCCAGAACGACCGGCGGGCATCTGAGACGATCGGTCGTCCTGGACGGTTACAGACGTGCTCATTATTAATAAGTTAACTGCAGCTTCGGAAAGAACCGCTGGTTCGGCGCAGCGTTGTAGATTACTTATGCCAGGGCTTAGAAAGTTGTGCCAAATACAATGTAACACAAAAAGGGCTCACGTGAAGGTGAATGAGCTCATTTAAATAAGATGTATTACTTAGAAATTTTCACCCAGTTGCTCAGCTTCAGTGTCACCAAAGGCGGTTGGCGCAGCAGTACAGGAAAGTTGTTCGAAATAGGTTTGGTGCTTCAACTTTCCCTAACACACACAAAACGATGCTGTAGCCATAATTTGTTTCTCAAGCCTGTATATGCGGCCAATGTGTGCATAAAGGATTTAAGATGCTGCAGCCACAATCCGTATCACAAGCATGTATATGCGGCATGTACTGTATATGCATATACATGTACATACGGTTAAATCAGGCGCGGTACATAAGCACCATGTTTGGCCACAACGAAAAACTCGAGTCGGGTGACGGCAGCAAGTGTAAGCTTGTCCGGTAATTTCTGACGAATCAATACAGCGAAATACATAAATTTGCGTGTTACGCCAAATTTCACACTCCGGAGCGCCACTCCACACTGTTTAAACATGCAACTTGCATTTGGCTGGCAGGTAGCTTGGTACATCCCATTTAATTTTATGAGAAGAATAGTAGCTGCCTGTGGGAAGGTGGCTAGAAAATGGTCGGTGCAGTAAGCGGCAATCTAACTGCGGAGCGCATTTAGAAAATTTGATAAACGTAGTGAAGTGGCCACCGTTATAAGCGCAAACTTCTCGCTAGCTCTATCTTTACGTAAGAAATTACTGGACAAGCTTGTACAGGGAGCGCTTGCCTCCGCAGTTAAATTCCCCCTATATAATATAAGAAATGCAGTAGAGTAAAGCAGTATTGGCCGGATACAAGGAGGGTAGGCACATTCCGGGGTCTTGAATATACGCGGGACAAAACTAAGCTGTCTACCGTTTCACTGTTCTGCTCCCGTCACCCGCTGAACTGTGACGTTCTGGCTGTATTTATGGATAAATCCGGTGCTGTACGGGTGACGGCAGCTGGGAACGGCAGAATTACAGGGGAACGGTCGACAGCGTTTAGTTTTGCGCTTGATATCATATCATATTTTGCGTCTGTATCCCTGATATCATGTATCAAGGATGCAGGATACCGTGAGAACACAGTAACTGTTGTATATGTGGCTTCTGAATACGGTCGAACAAGCATGTTAACTTACTGGATATCTGCACGTATTTCAGCGCAGCATTATCGCAGTATTCTCACTGAATAACATGCGATATTCCGAAGAAATTTCATCAAATTTCGGAAAGTTTAAGAAAGTTAACGGGATCACGAATGATACACGGCTGATGCGATAAACAAAATTTATGTATACTGACGCTTTATTTCAGGAAACCATTATATCGGCACCCCCTTCCACCCACGTTTACCAAAGATACCCATTTCACACCCGCGTATTGCAGGCACCCATTGCATTAAAAGGACGATATCCTAATACCAACACTCACATGGCGTCCATTTAAGTGTTGTTCGATATAGTTTATGGCCCAAGTTTCTGTAAATGCTGCAGTATTTTGCAGGAAACTGCGGAACGTATTTACTGTATGCTTGACGGTAGTATTGGTAATACTGTCGCCTTTCCAGCTGACCAGTTAAAAGAATAGATACAGTATAATATTATTTTGAATAGATTTACGAACTTTATTCCGAATTTATGCTTTCCGCCTTAAAAGAAAATAAAAAACCATCCGATAATAAAGAAATCAAGCTTGCTGTAGCTATTCCAGTTCCTTTAACATCAGTGGAGCCGGCGCCTAGTGCGGGCCGTCCTGAGGATTTTTCTGTTCCTTAATATCATGTAAACACAGTACTATATGTTTAGTCACTTACGCTTCGAAGTCAACATTGAAAAATTGATCACACACCATTGTAATCTGGTTTAAAACAGTCATATTGGTGCACCTATAGCTTGGTCAAGTTTCCATTGATGTCACACCTAATGTTCACGAAGTAGCCGTAAGTACAATAACAAGCCAACTATTTTGCAGTGCCGACGAACCTATGGAAAACCTGACAGCATGTGCCGACATCTGCATAGAATCCCTGGACCATTGCGCCACAGTCGAAGCTACTGGAAACCGGTAATTCTGCCAGCACGGAATACGCCTGTCCTGTCACGGCACTGGCTGAAATGTCAATGACCTCCGCCGCTGACATGGCCGCTTTCAGGATGTCCCACACATATTTGTTCTCACCACTGGCCGCACAGATAACAGCCAAAAATATGGCCACGCGGATTGCCAATTATTAAAGGAATTTTATAACTGAGATAATTTGAAGACTGTGTTCAGACCGTCAAAGCGGAGATACTGAGGCTGACCGGTAAAATTCGGAATGCAAATCAGTAAATGCACATTGCAATCCAGCTAGAAGATCAGTAGTTTGTATACAAATTATGCAGCTTGTGATTATGGACAGGCGTTTTGTTTGTGTAACTTGAGTAATCATGTTCTGTAATCTGTAGTCAGAAGTAGCCTATGGTCGACTTCCTGGTCACGTGATCCATATTTTATGTAACGTGTAGCAGGAAGTCACCTTCCGGCTACTCCCTACTACATAGCTAGAGGTGTCCTACTACGCGTTGGCCGAAATAAAGCCAACGCCGCTGCGCTGATAGAATACATTGTTAGTCATCTACTCCAGTTGGGATGCCTAATAAAGAAGAACCTTCGGTTACATTGTTATCTCCAGCTGTCTCCAGTTTTCACTCAAAACGTTCATGTTGACTTCACCGTAATAAAAATCAAACGAACTATTCACATTATCTTTCATTATCAACATAGCTCATGGAATAGATGGACTACCTATTGACCGCTCAGTCGATAATGCCTGGGCTATAACCACGGTCAAAACTTTCGAGTAAAACCGGGCACTGTTTTGCAGTGCTACCGGAAGACGAACATGGCGACCATCCGGGACAGATGTCGAGAAATGTGGTCTCTGGTCCCTAGCTTTTCGCGATGATTCAAGACTTCTGGAGCGCCAGCAATTTAATTGAGCCATGTCTTCGGCCTGCAAAAAAGTCATTGCATTTAGCTTGACATTCAGGGCCGCTGAGAAATTTAAAAAAGCGGTTAATGCAACAAAGAGGAGAAAACAGGCAAAAGCTGATGCTAGACTTCATTTCGGAAATATTCGTGGGCAGGGCCGTAGCAGTATAGGCGCACTGGCGCGCGCCTATACCTCCTCGGCCAACTTTTGAATTAAATTTGTGCCCGAAACTGGCGCACAGGCGCACGGGCGCAAAATTTCTGGATTTTTCAAAGGGCGCAGCGGGCGCCACTGGCCGTGCGCCCGTGGCGCAGGGTAAACTTTGGCCGGATGTGCCTTGGTCTGGTGTACGGCGATCAAGAACTACAATAATTAAACTACTTATATTAATTAAAGTATTAAAGCGCGGGCTGTTTATACGGGCGCAACGGGCGCAGGCTTCGAAATTTAGGTCAAAGCTATGCGCAGGAGTTTTGTAGTTATAGGAAACTTTAGTACGTCAAATTTTGTAGTAATTTAGAAAAGTTGTACGAACCCCGATTGCACGTACGACGATCGTACATTATAATATATTAAGTACGGCATACAAAAATTGCCGGGATTGTGTGAATTACTGCACAGTGGTGTATCCATCCACATGTACCTAATTCCGTGAATCGGTGAAAAGTCAGTACTTTACAAAAGTCAGTACTTTAGGTAAAGTACTGCCAATACTTTATACCTCCCGCATGCCGTGAATCGGTGAAAGGTCAGTACTTTACATAAAGTCAGTACTTTATGTAAAGTACTGCCAATACTTTGTACCTCCCGCATGCCGTGAATCCGTGAATCGGTGAAAAGTCAGTACTTTACATAAAGTCAGTACTTTAGGTAAAGTACTGCCAATACTTTGTACCTCCCGCATGCCGTGAATCCGTGAATCGGTGAAAAGTCAGTACTTTACATAAAGTCAGTACTTTAGGTAAAGTACTGCCAATACTTTGTACCTCCCGCATCCCGTGAATCCGTGAAAGTACTGCATCCCGTGAATCCGTGAATCGGTGAAAGGTCAGTACTTTACATAAGGTCAGTACTTTATGTAAAGTACTGCCAATACTTGATACCCCTTGCATGCCGTGAATCCGTGAATCGGTGAATATGTGAATAGTCAGTACTTTATGTAAATTGCAGTGGTGTTATTGGCAATGGTGGAGTACTATTGGTGTTATTGTTTTCAGCAAA